CAAGATCAAGACTTTGTAAAAGAGCATAATAGGACCCCTTTAAAAGACGGTTTAAGCATAGCTGGAGTATTTGACGTTTCAGTTTTTATTAAAACACTGGTTATAATATGCAGGTTTTGAGACTCATTGCATTCTGTTAAATCAGATTTTACATATATACGGTATATACAGATTTGGTGTATATACTGTTCAAAAGTTTGTTGTCAGTATGACTTTTTATTTTTTTATTAATACTTTTATCCAGTGAGGATGAACTAATTGATCAAAAAGACAGGAAAGATTACAAAAAGTTTTACAAAAGATTTCTATTTCAAATAAACGCTGCTGTTTTGAACTTTATATTCATCAAAGAATCTTGAAAAAAAAAATGTATCACAATTTCCAAGAAAATATTAAGCAGCACAACTCTTTTCAACATTGATAATAATAAAAAATGTTTTTCTGAGTACCAAATCAATATATTAGAATGATTTCTGAGGGATCATTTGACTCCAACGACTGGACTAATGGCTGCTGAAAATTCAGCTTTGAAATATATTAAATATAGAACACAGTCATTTTAAATTTTAATTCACATTATTCAAATTGTATTTCACAATATTACTGATTATTATATCTTGATCAAATAAAAGCGATTTTGGTGAGCATTAAGATACTTTAAAAACATTTAAAAAAGTTTTTATAGACCCCAAACTTTTGAATGGTAGTGTGTATATAAACGCATATTTGCCGATCACTGTACACAGGTCAGCACACGTGAGTTCATTATTTATCAAATCAGATCCGAGCAAATCTCAGATCATTCTTACCGTGTTGTCTGGCTCTATATTTATACGGCTATATCTGGCACTTCATGTCAGCTTTTATTTAAAGATTCATGTTAATACAATGAATAATGAGCTTATCTATGAGATTGAGATTTACAGATTGCTGAACAGGTTTGAGATTGTATTATAGAAACCAATCCCATTCACGTGCAGTAACAACTGTTTTATTTCTCCACTCCAAAACATGTTTTCATAATTGGGTCCCAATGGGATTTTCGGCACAAAAACTGTTTTAACCGTCATGATGCTATTGCTACTCATATCTCGATATAAGCATTTGATACAAGATTCCCAGCATGTATTTCAGATATGTTCATCTTAATTATCTTATTTAATGAGTATGTCATTACCTCTGTCTTAAAGTCAACACGCATCGTCAAGCTAAATCTCTCCACTTCCCTTTACTATTGTGCCTCCCTCCTTGATCAGCGAAATCAATAATACTAGGAAAATAGATAAAAAGACAAATTAAAAAGGAAATTATAAGCCAATTGGTAATAACGGTGTAAAAATAAGCTTTAATATATTTTTTTTGCATGTGTTTGTGTGTGTGTGTGTGTGTGTGTATATATATATATATATATATATATTTGTTAAATCTGACATTGTGACATTGACATCATTGTGACATTGTAAATCATAAACTGTTCATAATGATAATTTTAATGATTTTCTATTCGGTTTTTTTACATTTTGAAATTATTTTTATCCATGATTACACATTTCATAATTTATTCTATAATGGATTTCTCAATTTCTCAAATGATTAATAAGTGGCACACATTTGCCCCCATATTATTGAGGCCTACATTATATAGATATCTTTTCTTTTTTAAAGTTGGAAATAAGATGCATCTTTACTAATGTTAAACTTTCCAGACTTTTACACACTACTAATACCAGTAAAAGCATGTCTGATCAATTACTCAACAATATGCAACTATGCAATATAGAATATCCATATATCTCCACATTGACAAACCTCAACGTTGCCCATGACCTTCCTCCGTGACACTGCCCTAGACAGCGGGGATCTGTGTCATTCAGAGGAAAATGTGTTGACCTGAGGATTATGTCTGGTGTCCGTGTCTCAGACGCAGACCTTGGAATTGGCAGTAATCCTCCAGAGGGCATCCTCATCATCCCAGTCGTGATCCTCCACACCGCCATCACATAAATAAGAGAACAACAAAGAACATCCAGCTGCTTTAGGATTCATTACGGACTAATGTGGGAACACATACCTAATATAAAACATATGACAACTTATTAAATATAAAACACACAGTTCCAGATGTGGATGCCGATTGGTAGACAGATCTCAAAGGTCACTCCTCTTTCAGCTAACTTCGTTCCAGATGTATTTTATTCATTTGTTCTAAGCCATAAAGCAAACCAACCATCTCAGACATAGAACGGTATATATGAAGTGTATCACATCAGTCACAATGGTCTCAAGTGTTTAAAATGTATTATGTTTCTTAACTGAGTTTGTCTCTTTTGCAGGACGGTTATATAGACTTCATGGAGTATGTGGCCGCTCTCAGTCTTGTAATGAGAGGCAAGATGGAGCACAAACTGCGCTGGTATTTCAGACTTTATGATGTTGATGGCAACGGCTGCATAGACAGACACGAGCTCCTGAATATCATAAAGGTAGGAAAGATAATGTTAGTACAAACTGCACTAGATGGCTATGAAAAGAGAATATAAATCCTTTTCTTTTTTTTTTACATTAGGCCATCCGTGCCATCAATGGAAGTGAGTCGCAGGAATCGAGTGCCGAGGAGTTCACAAACAGAGTGTTTGATAGGATCGACGTCAATGGAGATGGTGAGAATTAAAATAAGATTCTAATCTTAAGAAACGTATTAAATCTTTAAAAGAGTATGATTATGTTTTCCCTGTCTATAATCGCTAACTGTTCTCCATTCAACAGGGGAGCTGTCGCTGGAGGAGTTTGTAGCAGGGGCACGTACTGATGAAGAATTTATGGAGGTGATGATGAAGAGTTTAGACCTTTCGCACATTGTGGCCATGATCCATAACCGGAGACACAGCGTCTAAGAGACAGTCCACGGTCATATATGCCACTTACAGTTCTCCTTTAGAGTCTCTTGATCAGAAAACAAGAGCGACACACAACTGTCTAATTCTGAAAGCACTTTAAAGCACAATCACTTCAAACAGAGACTTGAGCTAAAGAGGTCAAGAGATGAAATTGGTGTGGGACGTCCCACATCTAATAAACTGACTGTTTCCCCAAAACAGCCTTCTTGCTAAGCAGAAAGAGGCTTCATGGGAAAAGA